TGTGACGTCACGTATAACATATAAAAATGTACCAAATTGGCATAAGGATTTAATTCGTGTATGTGAAAATATTCCAATTGTACTTTGTGGTAATAAAGTTGACGTCAAAGATCGTAAAGTTAAAGCTAAAGCTATAACATTTCATCGTAAAAATAATATGCAATATTATGATATTAGTGCACGATCAAATTATAATTTTGAAAAACCGTTTCTTTGGTTAGCACGTAAATTAGCTGGTGATGCTAATCTCGAATTTACTGCTATGCCTGCTCTTATGGTAAGTTTTTATTTAAAATAAAGTTCTCTTTTTTTTTAATTTTTATTTATTTCAATGTTATATATTTTTTAGCCAGCTGAAGTTCAAATGGATAATGAAACAATTAAGAAATATGAAGCCGAAATTGTAGATGCTCAAAATGCAGCATTACCCGACGATGATGAAGACTTGTGAAAAAAATGAAATTGCGCAATTCTTTAGAGAAAGACACTCAACAAAAAATGTTATTATTACTATTTTTCTCAACTTTTTTTCTTTTTTTTTTTTTGTCTCTGTCATTCTTTTTTTCTTTTCTTTTCGACGTGTGAGTGCAGATGAAACGATTCGATGAGGAAAAATTTATGCGTGCGAAAAAAAAGTCCATCGATAGGTTTCTTCATTTATCTTTTCTTGTTGTTGTTAAATTTCTTTTTTTTTTTCTCTTTTCTTTTTCCCTATTATTATCTGTATCACAAGTAAACAACCAAGAATCGTCGACGTATTTTTTTTTTTTTTTGAAAGATGAAAAACATTAGCAGTCAACAAAATGATTTAAAAAAAAACAAGCGTAGTTTTTTTTTTTTATTTGTCTTCTATCTTCAATTGTGAAGTAAATTCGAGAAAAAGAAACTATTAACAGCATTAATAAAATAACGAATATGCGCGATTTCCATAGATATATAAAAATAATTATTATTTGTTAATTTGGAAATCGTTTATATCTTTCTTTGACAAACATAAAAGATTGATATTAATTTAGAATAAAAAGAATTTTATGTAAGAAAAAAAAAAGTAAATAGCAGAGAATGTTTGAAAATGAAAATGCAATCAATAATAGTAAAGAAAAAAGATTAGCAATTTAAAATATTGTTCTACATTGATGAATAATTTTGTGAAATTTATTAATTATTGATATTTATGATTTAGGTCATACTTGGAACCGATCGGATTTTTTTTTGTAACCCGTCGGTTGAAATTCTTGACTTAACTGACGAAAAATCAGTACGTTTGGCATATCAATTAACCAATCAATTCTTTCGAGGAACAATTCCTAATAGTAACAACTTCTATTTTAGTCTATCATGATTCATATATGCTAACATTAAAAACCAATGAAGATTTCTTTCAAAATGTTTCATCTAGTAACTCACAGCAATTAACATCTATATTATGCTTTAGCTGACTTCTATCAATAATGATATGATTTCTTTATAATTGATGAGTGTGATCTATTGTTATTTGAAATAATTTTTTAATACAACTAAGAGACATTTCAATTCATAAAAGGATGCTATTGCTGATTTTTATGAATGTCAATAAAAAGGAAATCCAAAACAGTAAGCTCAAAATTTCGAAATGAAAAATCCTTACTTTAGATCGAAATTAATTTCTAATACCTGACTAACTTTTTGTAAGCCTAATAAATTCATTCAGTATAATCTGTGGTTCTCGTCGTAAGATGAGAAAGTGTTACTTTAATATTTAAAGCTCGGTTTTTGACAATGACTGGACATTTACCAGTTGAAGGCTTTCAGGCTCATATCTCCTGATCATTAAAACCATGAAAATCGTTAAAAAACAAGCAAAATAGGCCAACTTAAGTGTCCCAAAAAAAATCGGCTTGTCTGATGCCAAGTACGATTTAGGTCTTATTGTTAACGGATGCCCCAGAATAGATTGCATGAAATCTTGGTACCTTTTTCTCTTGCTTCATAAGCATAAAAGAGGTTTTCTTTATATACCAAAGCATATAGAATTTCAAGCTGTACAAAACTGTCGAGTTTGTCTTTCAAACACTTTTAGCCTTGTCGGCACTCAATTTAAATGGCTCACATCTGTTCGTAATCATTCAACTGCGATTTCCTATTCTCTGGTGACTCCCATTGATTTTTGTAAAGCATTTGCTCGTCAATATCGATCTCAAAAGTAAATTACTTAATACCAATAGATAGAGAATTTTGTATTCTATGCCTTCGTGACTTTTACAAGGTTCTTGGAACTTGTGTTTACGCAAGAAAAACTTGGAACTAACAACTGTCGATAATTTTGAGTGTATTTTGGAAAATCATGGTTTCAAAAGTCACACTTGTTCTATGAAAGATTTATTAGTATGCTATCGGATGTAGAATTTAATTCTGAATAAAATTGTGTAAAGATTAGATTAAACATTGAAAATATCTAGGTTGTTTCGAATTACAAAAAAAACGAGAATGCTATAGATCTACTAAAAAAAGACTTTTATCTGTTTTTTCACATTTTTTACTTCGAAAACGAGGTATGTTTAGATTTCCAAAAAAAAAGGAAGTTACCCAAATTTCTGAAATTTCCATCAGTTCGATAATTATATAGCAGTGCAAATCAAAATTTTTTAGATATATTGGAAATTTCAGAAATTTCGGAAACTACATGATTTTAGAAAGTAACGTAAAATGCAGAACACAAATGCTTGAAATCTCCGAAACTTCTGAAACTTCCTTTTTCGGAAGTCTGAACACTGCTGTCGAAAACTGGTTTTCTTCAAATATTTTTTCTAAAATTCTGAAACAATCATCCAAAGATGCAGAATTTTAGTGACACATTCATTAAAAGATTGTCATCGATTTTTTATTTTTTGTTGATCGTTGTAGTTGGATGAGATGTTCTTGTTCTAAATTTTATGCTGACAAGAGGAAGTTGTTTGAGAAACAACGAGAACAATTTTATAGAGCTTGAAATTCTCAATCTTTAGGCACAACTGGGAATTATTTTTATGATTGAGAAACGAGAGAAAAATGCACTCAAATGTGGTGAAATTTCTCTTGGGACATTCGTTATTGTCATTGATGTTGTCATATTAACTTCTTGATGACGAAGCTGAAATAAAGTAAAACAGACCTTCTAAATATTTGTTGTAGTCTGACATAAATGTCACTGGTAAAAAACATTGTATCGTCAAATCAAGTCTAAGTGTAAGAATTATGATCACCAATCATTTTCGAAATAGATCGTGTTAAAAATAAATTTTTATTTTATTTGTTCTAAAAATAAGTTCATTGTCAAAGAATTAATATTAGATTTAGAGCTTTGTTTACTTGCGATTCTTATTAGTATTGATGAATTAGAGATTTACAAATATGAATCATATCAATCAACTATCGTGCTCCAAATATAGACGGATGTCTATCTTTGATAATCAAACTGGGAATAATCTAATGAAGCGTTTGGTTTAATAAGAGATTGAAAGAAAAAAACTGGCAAACAACTCAAACTCATCGAGTTTGGGTTTTTTTTATTGATTCGAGCGCGCGGTCTAAATTGTTCTTATGACATTCTCGAGTATTTATTCTCCTAATTCAATTTACTATAGACAAAAACATGTTGTGTCACGTAGCTCAGTAGATAATGGCATTTTTCTTCATTTATGCGAAAACGTTTTGGGCGCATGCTTAATCGCACAGATAATGACCATACATAATCAAATATAGAAAATTCCACAAAATTAATCGTTAATATAGAATATGATTTAAACTGTTAATTTGTTCTTTATCATTAAAGAATATAGATGATTATTAACATAATACATTAATAAAAACAAAAAGCTTTTATTGGTATTCTAGTTAATTTGAATACCTTACTTAAAGAATGAAATTAGTTGATAATACAAAGAGGAATTTTTCCAATTGGTTGCTGTAACCATAATGTCGTATTGAAATCCCAATTGACGTAAATACAAAACTAAATCAACATATACTTTTTTTTCTATTTTTGATTCAACTAAATTATGTTCTATATGATCGAAAATGCACTCCGTAACAAACAAGATAATGGCACATCGCGATGAACAATCATCATTGTTCCGTGATTTGAAAGAACGACTTAAGTACAAAAAATTATTTACATGAGTCTTTTTCTCATAACATCTTTATTCGATTTCCTTATAAATGACAAATGAGAGCTCGAAAATATTTTTAAATTAATTTCTTCTTTAGGGATTTATCGATGCATGTATGTTATTTACAATTTAATGTTAACGATAATTAATAGGTCTTTTTACTTTATCATAAGTAGAATCGTAATTAAAAAGTTTCTATTATGACATAGTTCAGCTTGACAATACTAAAAAGCCGTTGGGACAATTTCTGTGAGATTAAAATATAAAACACGATGTAGTTGCTGTTACTAATTACAAAGAGATTGTTTTATTCTATCTATTTCGTGACATATTTCTTCATCATTCTTTCACTTAGTTGTCTAGAAATGCAATAAGGAAGTAATTCATCTATTAGAACGAGACATTACTGATATATAGTATGCAATCGTATATCAACAACATCTGTCATGGTCTGTGGAAGGGATCGAAATTTTTACTCCTATACTTCAACACTCATTTTAAATCATGTTTCAAAAAATCTTCTATTAATATTATTGATATATCAATAGATTAGTTTCATACAACACGTCTATAGTTTTTAGGTGGTTAATGTAAATAAATTACATATTATGTAGTGATGATCGATCATGCGAATCAATAATATATAGTTATTAGAATATTACTAATTTCACGAAAGGAAGATCGATATAGACTATAGAATGAGTAATATTTTCTAATAATACATACTATTGTCTAGTTAAATTTTGCGCTCAGCCATTAAATATGTATTGACGTGATATTCGACATATGTATATATATACATCGAAAAAAAACATAAAATATCTATACTCAAATATTAATCCTTCGTGATATTTTTCTCCTGCGTATATAGCAATGAATTATAATCAATTTAATTCATATGAAGCTGCTTTTATTCAAGCAGATAGAAATCGAGATGGAGTATTAGATCGAAATGAATTTCGAAATTTTCTTGAATTTCAAAATGCTGATCGTAATTATGATGGACGTGTTAGTTATGCTGAATTTGCAAATATAGCTGGTAAGTCGAATTATGATTTTATCAAATATCTAGACTTTTTTTAATTTGATAGCACCAAATCTTAATATTCATCCAAGAGATACAAAACGAGCTTTTCAAGTAGCTGATCAAAATCGTGATGGTTTTTTAGATCGAAAAGAATTAGCCGATTTTTCTGATTTTCAACATGCTGATTTAAATCATGATGGACGTGTTGATCCAATTGAAATGCGTTTGTTTCTTGAAAAAAATCAAATGCCAAACCGTAAGTACTTAGCTTCAAACATATTCTTACATATTTTTTGTTGTATTTTATTCAGATTCACCTTATCAACATGGACAACAACACTATCGTCCTCCTATTCAACATCAACAACAACAACAACCCTATCGTCCTCCTATTCAACATCAACATCAACGATCGCTGTATTCACCACGTCGTTATTAAACAACTTTTATATCCTTTCATATTCGCTTTTATTTTGTTTTGCAATGTATTTCATTAGAGAAAAAAAAACGAAAATAAAATTATTAATCTGATAATTTACGATTCAACTGTTGTATCATCTGATTTTTGTATGAATAGAAGTGGTCATATTTCTGTTAATAAAAATTAAGATAAAACGAAGCGGAGATTATTTGAATAGGTATTGAAATGTCAAACTAATTACATAAAAGATTCATGTTGGAATGATAACACTTCTATTGTATTTTTTTTGAAGTATTTGGAAAAGAATTAAATGTCTACACTTGTTCATTTATATAAATCATCGTTTTACATTTTACATATATAAAAATCCCATAACATGAATGAATGTGTAAGCAAAAAAAACATGAAGTACATCATAACTTTTTGTTTCACAAGAAAAGCAACAAAGAAAAACAAAACATTTTAAACATAACAAAACGCTTGTCATCGTGTGTCAATAATGAAAACAAGCATTTGTGTAGACACTAGTAGAACAGTTTAATCATTATTAAACGCCTACATGCAAACATTCGATTTCAATTTTCTTCTTATTCGTGTTTTTTTTGTTGTTGTTGTGGTAGTGATTCTACATGCCATCACGTGCTAATCCTCCATATCCATCATCAGTAGATGATCATCAAAAGAATTCCTATGGTAATATACAACAACAACCAACTTCCAATTTTCAATATAATCCATGGGATTTTGAATATCCTTGGTCACACGGTTTATGTGGTTGTACAAAACAATGTGATGAAACATGTTATAGTATATGGTGTTATCCTTGTTTTATTTGTCATCTTACTTGGCGTATGAATGAATCTTGTTGGATGACTTGTTGTCTACCTGGTTCTTTACCTATTTTAAGAACAAAAATGAGAACAGCATTCCGTATAGAAGTATTAATCAAGAAAAAGAAATTACATTATTAATATATAACTTATATATATAAATATATTTTTTTTGTTTGTTTGTAGGGTTCGTATTTCTCTGATTTTTGTGTTGCTGAATGTTGTCCACTATGTGCAGCATTACAAATGGCTAATGAATTACATTTTCGAAACGTGATGCGTTAATATTTTATCTTTGTCAATAGAACTCAACAGAATTGATTCATTATCTTAAATTGAATACTTTTGTTTTTTCAATATATAATAAAATGATTTATTACCATTTTCTTTATTTTATCGGAGGAATTTTTTATTAGATGAAGAATAAGAGAATATTTAAATATGTATAGAATTATCATTAAAATTAGCAAAGAAAGTTCTTTTAATATTTATATCATCTTATCGGAATGCGTGGGTTCATTACTAGTTTTGCTTATTCTAGTTATTATATCTGACTCAATAAAAATCGACTAACAGACAGAATTATCAATTAGATTTCAAGTATGTCCCTTCATGAATTCATAAATCAATAGTTCATATTTTCATCATATTAATCAATAAACATACACATGTACTATTTGAGTTCTATTCCTAATGATATTTCTTCTTTAGAATCATCAATGCGTATATATCAGTTGTCAATTGTTAAAAGAGCTCATCAGACTATTGCAGTTCGCAAGTGAGATTCATGATCGTATTAGTGAAAGCAATCGTAATAGAGAATTGCGACATCACGTCTCTTTCCATTTATTATTCAGACCCAACATGAACATAGTAACAGAGAGAAAAAGAGAAGAGATAAAAAAAAAAGAAAAGAAAATAAGTTCTCACTCTGCGTTCAATCTTTTCAAGTGAGAGAAGATGAATTACGATCATTAAAATACTATGGTCGACATTGTTATGTTGCTTTTTATATAGCATAGAGCATAAAATTGGAAAGGGAAAGATTTATTTTACTAGGATTCATCTTTCTTTCTGGTTGCCCTCGTCAAAAAAAGTTTCTATGAACATTCTCAGTTTTCTTCTTTCATAAATATAATGTTGATGAGAATTTCCGACAAGACAACAACGTCGTTCGACAAAGAAATAAATATTGTCGTTCGTTCACTGGTAAATATAGAAATACATTGAGAAAATATAACATGCTATATAGTTAATACATTAGAACATAAGATCTAATGAATTTTCTATAGATGAATCAAACAAATTATTGTATTTATTCTATCTATTTATTAATTAAATATTTTGAAAGTCTCTTTTTATTCATGTATGTATTTATTTGTATGTTTATTTTTATCTAAAAAAAGAATAAACGGAAATTATATGTTCGTGTTCATGTTCTGTTTATATTAATTTTATTAGAAAACCGACCTTGTCATAATAACATAAGAATGAGAAAAAAAACTCAAAACATAAAAGAAAGATGCATTCATGTTCATTGTGAACGGTTATAGATTTCCGTGCTGTTTTTTTTCCTGTAACTTGCTTCAATAAAGAATTGAGCACATGGTGAAAAGAAAAATAAGGATATGCAACAGAAAAAAACAATAGAAATAAGAGACTCATTGCAAGAAGATGTTGATGCTGAGTCTAGAAACTCGAAGCGATGAAAAGACAAAAAAAAAAAATAAGAGAAAGACAAGCAATAAATACTTATGATATGGGTTTTCCTGTTTTCTTATACTCTCTCGCTCTTTCACTCTCGTTGTCTTTTTTTCTCTATTCTTCACTGTTTTCTATATTTTAGTGTAGTCTTACATATTCATTCTAAATCTTAATGGCATCACCGGGTGACACATTGAAAAATAGTCTATTTGGTCAACTTAAATCATACAGTAATGCTGTTCAAGATGCTTTTGAACAACGTATTGGTAAGATTATTTATTTTTACATATAAAAATATAAAAAAAAAAACAACTTCGTTTTTTCTTCTAAGTGTTTATATTTATTGAAAATTAGATTTTCATGTCATTGTTAAGTGTTCTCAATAACTTCTACTCCGAAAAAATAATAAGGCTATTAAAATAAATTTGCATTATATCAACTCTAATCTTTCTACTGAAAGCAAAAGCAAAATAAAATTACTACTAGTTCTAACCAATACTGATCTTTGATATAATTACCTTTTTTTTTTTCTTATATGATCATCCATCATCAGATTAGCATCAATTTTGTATAGGAAAAAAGAAAAAAAAAACATATTACAGTTATTGTTAATTGAGACCTTGTAGAAAACAAAAAAAAACTGGAATATCAAACTTGTTGCTTTCGTTTAATGTATAGTAGTATTAATTAAATTATTCTTATTAACTGAATAATAAACATATCATTTTATTGTGTTAGCACGTCCATTACTAGCATTTAAACGTGATTTAAGTCGTCCAACTTCTGAAACACGTGTTCCAAATGATCATGAATCAGTATTAACATCAAATCATACATATCAAGAATCGTCATCATCATCATCACCACTTGAAATAATCGATATTGATACAAGTAGTTCATTTAGATCTATATTTAATAAAGTTAGAGATACTTTATCACCATCAACAAAACGACGAGCATCTGAAAATTCAACAAATAATGTAATAGAAAATTCATTAAAAGAAAATGAAAATTTATCTTCAACTATTTCAATAAATAAAAAATCACAAAAACATTATTTATGTCAAAAAAGTGTTTCATTTGCTGAAAATATTGATACTGATTATGATAGTGATAGTTATAATCAATATTCAATTGATGATCGAAATAAAATTGTTCGAAATGCTCAAACACTTGCTGATAAAATATTAATAGCAAGTATTAATGCAACAGCAGTAGCTAAATTAGCATCAACAAATAAATTATCAAATGAAAATGATGATGCTTTTGAACAAGATTTTCATCAAACAATAAAACCACGACGTATTTCAATAAATAATAAGGAAGATTTAGTTTATCAAGATTTATCAGCTGAAATTGTTGCTTATGTATTAAAACATGCTTTACGAACATTAAAACAAGAACAAGATCAATCAACAGAAAATCAATTAATTATCAATCAGAATGAACAAGATGAAGAGTTTATTGATTTAAAATAGCAATTAGAATCTTTTTATTCATTTATTTATTTATTTTTTCCTCTTGTATATAATTCTTATTATGTAGACTAAAAAAATATTAAAAATTTAATTTGAATAAAAAAAAACACAATTTATCTTCTCTTGTTTTGGTAATCAAATCTTCTTTGATTTATAATGAATGATTCAAATAAAGAAAAAAGTTTTGTTTTTTCTCTTTTTTTATACCGGAAAATAAAGCCATTAGAACTTTGATGTTCCGATAATAGAAAATAATTTTCATTGTTTGATGAAATCTTTTGTATTTGTCTCAATGAAGCTTAAAGTCTCACAAACTACTTTTCGCTACTCAAAATATTAGAAGTATTCGTGACTGTTTTGTTGTAACAACTCTTTTATTATGAAGAAGTTAATACTCTAATTATATATTGTCGAAAATTATATATTAATTCTTAGAAAATAATGGAATTGTGAAGTCTTTATTACTTTCAACGTGTACACTAATCGACGTTCTTGAAATTATTCTTTCCAAATTTTTGTTTTTCTTGTTCAATCAATCAAAGAATATTTCTTATCTTGAAATTCAGAGAAGGATCTTATTCTTGTGTTGAAAAGATTCTTATTTGACCTTCGAGACAAATGTCACGTGATGTCTGTATATACATGTGTCGAAGTTGACTAAAATATGTTAAGTTCGATTAGCTGTCTTTAAAGACATTTTGTGTAATTTGAAAGACAACTGACTTCTAAAGTTCACATCAACATAATTATATATATATATATATATATATATGTAGTGTGACCGTCAAAATTATCCTAATAGTAGATTATTTTATTTTGTGTATATTTCAAAAGTTAGATGAGCTGCAACGATCTAGTTTTTCATCACATTACAGTTCATAATCTATAGTATTACAGTAAAGAATTTGACACTAATCCATTGATCTACTTAGTTTTTATTGACGATACAAAGGAAGCATGCTATTTTTCATCCTTTCAAAATCATCTAACCACTTACATTTATAAACTATCGCACGTCCGTTCAAAGTTAAAATTTCCTTTATAATATATGATTTAATAGAGTAAATTGTGCTCTGCATAACGAGTACTTTTAACGTAGCTTCCCTTTGGATAAGAGCTAACATGCAATATTTTTTTAATCCATATACGATATTGTCAACAAATAGACAATAAAAGACACTTTTTTCATATGATATTTTGTCAATTTTATGTTCAATATATCAATAGTAAGAACACTATTAATTGCATTAAATATTCTATTTGAACAGGTATTGCATGTTGATAAGTTGTCTTAATCATCTTCTATGTATACACCAATCACAGATAGACTTTTTCATGCGGCCTCATTCATGCATTGAAGGAGATATTAAAAAAATTGTTTTAACAGCGTGAGTTTTTATGGAACTTTTTTTTCATATAAAACTCTTACATTTGAAATTAAAACCAATGATATCATTTAAGTTATATAATTTTCTTACGCCATAAATAGCAAGATTAAAAAGCTTCTCGTAATCCCAGCAATAGATTGGATATGTATCTCATTAAACAAAGATGTATCAAATGAAACTTAACACAGCGCATTGTACTAAGTTCCATCCTCTATCTACATAGATGTTGCGCGCAAGAATTAACTATGTCTTTAATGATATCTGCACTTAGGCTGTTGCTGTGACTACGGTAAGCTTTTTACTCTTGTTATTTATAACGTAACAAAATTGTAAAACTTAAATGATATAATTGGTTTGGATTACATATGTAAGAGTTTTATATGAAAACAAGCTTTCTCTAGAAATTCACGCTGTTAACACAATTTTTTATATCTCCTTCAATGCATGAATGAGACTACACAAGAAAGTTCATCTATGATTGGTATATACATAGGAGACGATCAATACAATTTTCCAACATAAAATATCTATTCAAATATAATATTTAATGCAACTAGTAGTTCTCTTGCTATTGATATATTAAATAATAAAACTGGCTAAATATCATATGACAAAAAAGGTCATTTGTTGCCTTTTTGTTGACAATATTCGATATGGGTCAAAAAAGCATTGTTCTTGAAACTTTGTTCAAAAGAAAGCTATAATAAAAAGTACTCGTTATGTAGTGCGCAATTTATTCTATTAAATTATATATTATAAAGAAAATTTTCACTTGGAACAGGCTCTCAGCAGTTTGCAAACATAAGTGGTTGAATAATTTTGAAACAATGAAAACAATAGCATGCTCCGATTGTATGCTCAATAACAAGTAAACAGATCAATGGATTGCCCTGAAATTTTTTACTAGAATACTAAAGACTAACGACTGTAATCTGACGAAACCACAATTGATAGTGGTTTTATTCAATTTAATGAATAAAAAGTGTTTTATACAGATTAAATTTGTATGAGTTGCATGCCACTATGAGGCGAGTACATCTGATAACTCATTAGCGAATTGATTTTAGAAAGTTTCAAAGAATAACATTATCAAAACAGACAATATTGACAACAGATGAACCATTATTAATTGTAGCTGATTAATATAAAGCATGCAAAATATAAGAAAAAATGTAATTTTAATGTTAATAGAATAGATTATTTTGCTATTTGTTTTTTCTCTATGAAAAGTATAATATAGCATGATTATGAAAATGTTTTTTTTTTCTTTTTATCATTGTTAATAATTTCCGTTTTATCGTTTTGCAATTCATCTAAAAGCATATGAAATTGAATATATTTTTATTGTAGCTATCTTTGGTTTTTTTTTTGACGTCTTCTGTTAAAAATGAAAATAAAATATGAACGAAAGAAAATAGTCTTCTACATATGTAGTAGGAGCTACATCTAAATTACACGAATCTTACTTGAAGGGACAATTGTTGTCTCATCAGACAAGATTCGATCTACATGAATCTTGTCAGTAAGTTAAGATCTGGTATTTTTTTCTTTTGTTGCAAGGAAAAAATGTTAAAGTGGAATATATGTAAAAAGAATCATGGCTCAAAGCCAAGAAAAAGAAGAATCTAAAAAGAATAACGGAAAGAATTTCAATTTGTAATATTATTAATATAGACATATTCATTGAAATAGAAAATTTTACTTGACATCCATTCATTGCTATACATTTTGACATAGTAATTTGATAAAATGACTCTTATTTTTAATAGAAAAATGCTTGAATAGAGTTTAATCATTAAATACTTAATGTAAAAAGTCTTTCCGAATTTAGTGTCAAAAGTAATTTATGATTCGGATATGAATTTAATGAATCATGAAAGGGAATAATATGTCAATCACTTTGAAAGTTGTTTTATTCTTTTGTATATGAAACGTTCAATAAATGGAATACAAATTTTTTTTTCTTTGGAAAAGAATTAGAAGAAAATATCTGAAACTTTGATGAGTATGATTTTTCATGAATAATTTTGTTTATTGTTACAAGGAAAAAGAAGATTTAGTTTCATTTAAAAAAAAGAATTTTTCTATGCTTTATATTTTGTATTTTCTTGTCGCACTAAACATTTCGAATTCACAAGAAAATAGTAGATATTTTCTTTCGAACAGGCCTGGGCAAGTCCGAATCATGTATCTGACTCGAGTCATTCATTCAAACAAAGCAAACGTTGATAATTCAACATCAAAATCAGTTTCATAAGATATTGATGATTCTCTGCAGAAAAAAATTTAAGCAGTGATCTTATTTTCCAAAACAAAAAAAAGAACTTCATATAATCTCTTCATAAGCTTGGTGGAAAAATCATGTATGTTTCTGCTACATTAGTGCCAGTTGAATACGTGTTTTCTCAAAATGGTCGTCTAGGCTTCTCTCAAAAATCGATCTTGGGTTAGATACATTCAAATCACATGAAATTTTTAGGATATTTTGAAACCATAGTAGAGAGACTATGCTAAAATTTTTAGCCCTATACCATGATGTTTTCAGCAAATAGCTCATTTCTCAACCCCAAATTTTATGTGAAACTTCATTTCTATATACTTAATTTTTTTTTGTTTGAAAGAGCATGTTAAGATGTAGGACATGATAGAGCCGTTTCTTTTAATTCTTGCTTTTTAAGGAAATAAAAGGGATGAAACCTTTGATGCCTCAAAAAATGGCGCTTTAATTATAAAAGTACTCTTTAACATAATGATAGTAAAGCTTCATTTAAAAAAAGGACTCTATCATGCCTTGCATCTTGACATGTCCTTTCAAGCAAAAGAAAATTAAATATATAGAACAAAAGCCCACAGAGAATTGTGAATTGCGTGATTAACAAAAGTGAAAAAGATTTCCCTTTTTTTTTCCGAACAAAAAACACTTTTTTCAAGTAGAAGGTGACGGAAATCATCAAAAATTTTGTGGCAAAAAATAATGTGCCAAATACAAAAAAAATCATGTCGTTTATGAAAGATCAGATTTCGGACTATCTTCCTATGCATTTATTTCAATTTTGATTTTTCTGACGAAAATTGACTTTTTTTTTTTAGGAGAGAAAAAGCTTAATGAGATCGCATTGTTCATATTTTGTCACAAGCTCATTGTTTCAATTTAACATCTTTGACGTATAGGAAAACATTAATTTCAAATGTTAATAATTTAATTTTTGTTTATAAACAACTTTAAGTTTAGGATTTGTTTATTATCTTGTAGAACTGTATGAAAGAGAAGAGTTAATTTTATTGCCTTTACTTTGTTGATAAGGCTATAGTAATTGTGTCATTTTATTTTATGTAGGATTGTTCTTATTTTGTTTTTTGTGTATAAAACTAGAAACAAGATATCTCATTGTAAAAAAAACTGATTGTTAATATTCTTTATAAAAACAAACAGAAAATTAAAAAAAAAATAACAAAAATAACTTGACTTAATTCGAAAAAAAACTTCACACACTCATCTCTGATTCTCAATGAAAAATATTCATACATTTAAATTATTAATTCAATGCTTTGATCATTTCCAAACTTATTCATTCGAGATGACGATAAGTTATTTTCGGCATCATTAAAAAA